GCCTGCCCAGCAGCTCCCTTCCTCATCTGCTCAAGCCTTCTGCCCCACAGCTGCCTGGGAGCATGGCTGGAGGAAGCACTGGATGGCAGGGCAGCTCACATTCCTTCCATCCCGGGGAACATTTCATGTCCACCCGGGAGCCCCTTACCATGGACCCTGCCCTCTGCCAAAGCCCTGCAAACCACGCTCCTCAAAGGGCTCACCTAAGTCAATGTGTACCTGCTGCTGTTTCAGGGTCAGGTGCCAGGCTGCCACTCTTCCCTGATCCATCCCCTGCCCACAGTAACCAGATTTCTGGTAACTGGTCAGCAGAGCTGTCCCATTCATAGGACCGTTCAGGGCGGCCACCCTGGGCCCAGTGCTTTGGGGGGGGCCCCGCAGCAGCTGCCTCAACCATCATAGGACAGTCCCCAATATTATTGTTATCCGTGGAGCCCATGACAGCTTGGGATATTACCTGGGAGGGGACCTGGGGCCAGCACCAGGGATCAAGACCCCCCCCCCACACACACACACACTCAGCACAGTAACCCAAAGCTGCGGGAAGTGGAGTGACCCAGCAGCCTGCCCCATGGCTCATCTTCTCATCTTCCAGCCTAGCTGTTCCACTTGTTATGCTTATAAGCACATGGGAACTTTTTCAGGAGGAAAAGGCAATATGCCACGTTTATTGCAAATACAGCATAGAAATCTGCACGTGGATTCTCTCTTTCTTTCACACACACACACGCCTGCGCCCGTGTGCACATGTTCTGTACCTAGTGTCATAGATACCAGTGTTATTGGTGCTTATGCCAGTCTAGTGGCCAAGTAGACTGGGCATGAGGAAGGAGCTGAGTTCTGTCGGCCACAGTCCAATGCTCCAAAGTTGTCTTCACAGGACTAACCCAAAGCTAAATGGCTACACATCCCCTGAATCTGACTGACACCTGAATTCAAACCTCCTTGTTAATCATGCTGACCATCTGGTGCTGATGTCTTCTGTGTCTTGTCTTCTCAGATTTACATATGCCTCTCATACACTAGGGATGTTAAAATATGTTTATTTTGGTAAAAGTATAACCACAGAGGTTACACGTTTACATGTGGGGAAGCAGGCAGGAGACGGTATGTATGGGGAGCTGACTTTTAAGCAGGCTCCCCATGAGTACCGGCTCCCACCCCCCGCCATGCTGCTGCCTCTGATACAGAGGCAGCCAGGGGAGGAGGGGAAAGGAGAGCTGCATGTAACAATTTACATGTGTACACTATCACACTCCTAACTTACACAAAGGACACTTCCTTTCAGAGAAAGCAATTTGTCTTACAAAGGACCAGGCAGAATTTCTTACAAAGTTACAAAGTTTAAAAGACAATTTTAAATAATTTTACTAACTTATAATACATACTACAAAATCTATTTCAATATCTAGCCACTGCTAGAAAACAAAACTTATAAAATAAAAAATATATATAACAACATAAAACAAAGACATAAAATAAAGGTTACAACTATGTGTCAGGCCTACACACTTCACCGACCCAGACGGCAGATGGGCAGTATGGCAGGCTGCTGGGTCACTCCACTTCCAGAGGGCCTGACCCCTGCTGTTGTCCCATGTCAGGACCCTGCAATTCCCTGGATCACATCTCTCAGAGGAGGGGGCTTCGAAGAAGGGGAACAATGTGGGTGGGAGGCAGAGCAGTAGTGGGGCACTGAGCAAGGGGTGAAGTAGGGGGTGGATTGGGGGCAGGGCGGGAGCAGAGCAGGGGAGGAAATAGGTGGGAGCAAGGCCTGGGGCAGGGGGGAGTTTACCAGGCTCCCTAGGGACAGCCCTGCTGGTCAGTACATCTGACTAGATGCTGTCAGGTCCCCTTTTCAATCAGTCCTTCCAGTCAAAAAAACCAGACACTTGTCAACCCTAATGCAATATAGTCATACCCAGTAAGGAAGACTGTGGAGAAGAACAGTTCCTACTCCTCTATCTTCCTAGACCTCTCTCGCCTTTCTGGCTGGTGAAGTCCAGACTCACTAAAAGCAAAAAAGAAGTGAGAGCAAAAGGAGGAGCTTCTGCTAGGCTGGGTGTTTCTGAAGTTCCCACCCTTTCCCACCAGTAGGTGGCACAGCAACTGCACTTGATGAAGGATGAAGTGTCCCATATAAGATTCTCATATCCACTTCCTCTCTTAAGAAATATCAGCCCTCATATATGGCTATGTCTACACAGAAACATTATTTCGAAGTAACTAGCATTATTTCAAAATAACACAGTTTAAGTCTACACAACAGGCAGTTATTTTGACATAATATCGAAATACTGTCAAGCTAGAGGACTTCTTACTCTGACTCCTGTAACCCTCATTGTATAAGGAATAAGGGAAGATGGAAGAAGGGTGCTCTATTTCGAAATAAGTGCTGTATAGACAGCACCAAAATTCGAAATAAGCTATTTCGAAATAAGCTATGCAATTGACGTTGCTCAGTTTGCTTAGCTTATTTTGAGTTAAGCCCTGCTGTGTAGATGCGCTCATAAGGGAGAGAAGAAAGGGGAGAAGCTTCTGCTTTCTCTATATTCTCTCCAGTTAGATACAGGGAGAAGATGTACACAGACACCCTTCGGCCTGTTCCTCCTCCCCTCTAGGAGAGAGACAAATAAATAGTATCTTAACTGTTTCTGCATACAGTCCCTTTAGAAATGCTTTTAAATCTTCCCACATGCAGGAAATTGCAGCAGGTTTAAAACAGTGGAAGGATAAAACCCTGTCCCCTCCCTATTAATTTTACATTAATACAAATACTCTGTCGTGTAATCAGACTCAGTCTAAAGGCAGGAAGAAAAGTCAAAAGCTCTGTGGGTACCCCACCCAGCTCTGCACCCACATGCATTTGTTTGGTAGGCTACAGGCCCGCTTACAGACAAGAACCTCTTGTATCTACATATACTTGTTCACATTTTCTTTCCCTTGAGAGCCTAACAGTTAGCTAACTGGAGTTGAAGGTTGTTTTCTATTAGGAGAAGAAAATGACAAATATTTGTTTTTGATGCAACTTGCTTATTTACAAACAGGGTAGACTGATTTAAATCAAAGCAAGCTACATGCCTTATTTTAACTATGATTTAAATCAGTAAGCAAGAAACTTCAATTTAAAGAATCGGTTTTTAACTAAGGGGTTGGCAGAGAGGCTGTCTCATTAGTTGGTATCCATTAAAACATACTAACTTGCAATTAATATAGGGGTTTGCAACTAAACATATTTACTTGTGACTAAATTTGGGGTTTCTTTATGCTAAACTGGGGGACACATTATATCTATAAACATTTATTTAAGCAATTATATAGCTTAATTTAAATTTTATTCTGAATATTTATTTTTACAAATTTATTATGTTGGAAAATAGTAAATGATCCATTTTGATTTACTAGATTACTATCAGGATTTTTCTTGTGATTTGCATCAAGCTCTATATGGATAGAAATTAAAATTAAATTAAAAGGTGAAAAGAGGATTTTAATTTATTATAATTTATTATTAATTATTCAATAAAACTGCTTTAAAAGTACAGGATACATAAGAATAAAATTATTGAAACATGTTTTGCATGTACAGTTTTGCTAATCAGTTAATGTAGTGTGATTAGTGAATGAACAGTCTCTTGTAACTATATCCTTCAAGAATTTAGAAGTGGTAGATTCCACCTTTTCACAAGTACAATCAGATGCTGGAATGGTAATGAATGATGACATGGAAGAACAAGAGGTTTGCATTATAGATATCTGAGGGAAACTACCAGAACTTCACTTGGACTAAGAGGATCAAGGAGTGAAGAGTGGAGAACGTCACGTACATGGAAAATGGCTGAAGGATGAAAAAAGCTTTAAAAAAACCCAGCAAAACAGGTGACACAAGAAGAACTATGCACACTGCAATGGGAGTATGTAGAGAAAGACAGAGAAATTTTGTTTTAGCTTGACAAACTTGAGAGAAACTGAAGATGCCTCAGTGAGACTTCACTCCAATTAGCAAGCTTAATTGTGGTTTCAATGGTACTGTGGTATCATAAAAACAAGAAAAGGCACAGGCACATTGTGAACAATGGAGGCAGAACAAAAAGAATGATGGCATGAACATTTTAATGTAGTACTCAACCAACCAGAGTTTAATAGTTCCAATCAATGGATGTGAAGAATAATAAAATGTCAGGGCTAGAAATTTAAGAAGCAGATACAGAGAAAACAATTAAATGATTAAAAATGACAAACCACCTGGTCAAGATAAGATCACTGCTGAAATGCTAAAAGTAGGTGAATACATATGAAATGCATAAAGGCTACGTCTAGACTGGCATGATTTTCCAGAAATGCTTTTAACGGAAAAGTTTTCCGTTAAAAGCATTTTCAGAAAAGAGCATCTAGATTGGCACGGACGTTTTTCCACAAAAGCACTTTTTGCAGAAAAGCGTCCGTGGCCAATCTTGATGCGCTTTTCCGCAAAAAAGCCCCGAACGCGAAAATGGCGATCGGGGCTTTTTTGCGGAAAAGAAATCTCTGCTGTCTACACTGGCCCTTTTGCGCAAAAGGCTTTCGGAAAAAGACTTTTGCCCGAACGGGAGCAGCATAGTATTTCCACAAAAAGCACTGATTTCTTACAGTAGGAAGTCAGTGCTTTTGCAGAAATTCAAGCGGCTAGTATAGACAGCTGGCAAGTTTTTCCGGAAAAGCGGCGGATTTTCCAGAAAAACTGGCCAGTCTAGACACAGCCAAACTCTCTCATATAGTTGGGAGAAATAATTCTACCCAGAGAAATGGAAGAAAGGTGACATCTTTAAATTACCAAAGAAAGGAAACTAACTAGTGTGCAACAATTACTATTCCCAGTACTTGGAAAAGTATTCTGTAGCGTGCTTTTGGACAGAATCAAACTGGTTATAGATTGAAAAACTCGATACTATGCAAATAGGCTTTGGGCCAAAAAGACTGTGAATACAGCACATCTTTAACCTGAGGCAATTAATTTGGAAAGAGAAGATTAGTCTTATGCTTTATAGATCTTACCAAAGCTTTCAACTGCATTCAGAGTCACTCTGAAAAACTGCTTACCCTACGGCTTTCTGGAAAGATGGTGTCACTGGCTGAGATGTGGTATGAAGTTTCAGATGCTGTATAAAGACAAAGGGGAGAGACCAATTGGTTTGATATAGTCATTGTAGTATGACGTGGATCCATTTTATTGCTGCTTCCCTTTTATGATGCAAAAATAACATCAAAGGAAGATTCAGGTCTGATGTAAACAGAGGAAAATGGTGAAGATCTCAACTTTTCAGATGACATCATTCTGTTGGACACAGATGAAGATACTATGAAAAAGTTTACTACTACTGTCAAAACCTCCAAATCAAAATTAAGAATGAACCAGATGAAAATGAAAGTAATGATTATTGAAAGAAGGTCAATAAAGATGGTGTATATGTTATAAATAGTAAATAATATGGTATGTTTAATGCACTTAGATATCTTGGCTGCATAATTAGTGCTAAGAGCTAGGGAAGGGGAAGTTTTTCAAGACTGGCAAAATCTTGACCAAGAAGGAGATTCACACAAGAACTAAAACCAAGATTATATAATGCTACTGTAATACTTGCATTGCTATATGTTTCTGAAAATTTGGCAAATGCTAGACAGCCACAAATATGAAACAATGTATTCTATCAAAGATGCTTGCAAAGAATACTTGGTGCCCACTGGTGGAATAAAGTAATAAACTAACATTGGTGTGTTACAAAGGCCTGGCCAGCAGTAGAAACAGTGATTAGAACAGAAGAACGGCCATACTGGGTCAGACCAAAGGTCAATCTAGCCCAGTATCCTGTTCTCTAACAGTGGCGAATGCCAGGTGCTCCAGAAGGAATGAATAGAACAAATAATAATCAAGTGATTATTAATTAATCAAGTGATCCCTCCCCTATTACTCTGGCTTCTGACAAACAGAGGCTAGGTACACCATTTCTATCCTTTCTAATAGCCATTGAGGGACCTATCCTCCATGAGAAAGAAAGAGAACAGGTAACCTACTAGATAACTATTCAGAAAGATGTCACTGTCACAGAAGCAGACTGTAATGGAGCACATTAGACAGACAGAGGTGGAAAGGACAAGGTTGACTCATGTCATAAGCCATAAGAGAAACTAATAATAAAATAAATAAATGTTACGCATAGTTGTTATTAATAGATTGGAAGAAGAAAACAAGTTTTTCTGCTTCTCCAACTCCCAGTTGGTTTCTTAATTTTTAATGAACTAATTATTGACCTGAACTGGGTGAATACTGTCATAAAAACATACTTTCTGCACTGCAGAAGAGGGTACTGCTATCAAAAGCTGGATTAGCATTAAAAAAAATGCTGGTTCCAAGTACTTAGCCTGTGGCTTTCACCAATTCATTAGTTTTACTTTCTTTAAAACTTTCCAGCAAACATGTACTTATAAGCATGCTGTATTTAATTTAAATTAATTTAACAGATTATAGAAAAACTAGGCCTTATTTGATAGGCTCTAAATGAACTCAAACTAGATTTAGATGTAATTGTGGATAGATCCTAATGTACAATTGCAGTTAAAAAAGCAAACAAGATGGTCACTGTTTTAAGGGTAACTGCACCTGTATTCTGTAGAACATCAAAGACACCTACTTAAGGTTTGCATCTCCCAGATGTCACTTCTCTTGGATGGAGACCCACATCTCTCTCACCTCCTCACCCAGATTTTAAGGTGACACAGTTCTCAGCCTTACATTGCGCTATCCCCAGCAAGCCAGTCAGCCCTGTACCAGTGCTTTCCTTTCTGTCTGAGCACTATGCACTAGGGATGTTAGATATTGGGTAACTGAATAGTCGAGTAATTGCAAAAATTCTTATTGGTTACTTGACTACTCAATAGTCCCTGGGGGACAGTCAGTGTGCTTTGGCCCCTCTCCCAGGGAGCACCATGCCACTGCCTGCTGCTGACACTTTATCAGAGGCAACAGCACGGGGTGCCAGGCGGGAGCTGGTCCATGAGGGGAGCTAGTTTAAAAAATAGCTCCCTGTGCAGATTGGCTACCTGCTTCCAAGTGCTGCAGCTTCTTACACAGAGGCAGCAGGGTGGGGTGGCAGCAGCCTCTGTCCCCGGGGGGGGAGGGGAGGAAGGGAGAGGGTCCGAGCTTCCTGCGGACAGACGCTGCTGCAGAGTGGAGGGTGGGGGAGGTTGCCCTGAAGCAGCCTCCGGCCACAGTGTCCCAGGCTGGCCATGGACAGACGCTGCTCCAGCAGCCGCCCCTATCTGTGCGGGGTCCGAGCTCCCCATGGACAAAGGCAGCTCTGTCTCCCACAGAACAGCCTCTGACCTTGGCAAGCCTGGGCCTGCTGTGGACAGAGGCTGCTCTGGCAGCAGCCCTTGTCTGCGTGGGGTCCGAGCTCTCTGCAGACAGAGGTCGCTCTGCCTCCATAGAGCTGCTTCTGCCCATGGGGAGCTCGGGCCTGCCATAGACAGAGGCTGCTTCGCGGCAGCCTAACTTGACCCTGCCCAGCACTGATGCCTCTGAGAGAGGCAGTAGTGCAGGAGGGGGCACGTGGCACAAAGGCAGCAAGCGGACAGCAAGGCTTACCGGTTAATCATATAGTCAACTACACACATCAACATCTCTACTATGCACAGTGTGTTGTCAGCAGTTACAATTTACCACATAGCTCCTCCTGATCAGCACATTTATTCTGAGAGTAAATGCATCACAGGGAAAAATATAATCTATTATATACTTGAGAGAGTTTGTTTGTCTGTTTGTTCAAGAACTTTTTCTATATGGTAAGAGCAAGGACCACCAAATTCAGTATACAGCTACCTCTCCTCATAACTTAAAGCGAGGTAAGGGTTTTGTTATGCCAGGACAATGGGATATGCCTGTCATGGGATTGCTTCTCAGAAAACCATACAGAAAAGAGACAGAATCACAGGTAGGTGAAAGAGGCTGGCTGGGCTGCCCTGTCTGGGACTGCTCTAGCCCCGAGCTTCCCACCCACAGGTAACCTTTAAGGAATGTGTGTGAGGGAGGGGAAGGAGGAGTCTGAAGGATCCCTCTCCCCACTTCTCACCGGAACATTGCTGGTTGTTCCCCTTTGTCAGGGAGTTAGGGGAAGTGCACAGTTTGCTGCATTCCTCACTCAGGCTGGGGAGCGCAGGGACAGGTGAACCTGAATCTGCCCCAGCCAGGGAACATGCACCCTTGGTGTAGCTGTAGCAGCCAGGGAGAGGCATTTCTGGCCATATCCTGCTGCAGTGAGAGTGAGGGTTGGGGTTGTCCTCTCTACCTGGAGCAGCCTGCATATTGAACCTCTCATCCCCAATCCCACTCCAGAACAATAATTTAAATTAAGAGAACAAAAATTATTTGAGTTAAAGACCTGAGCAACACTGGGTAAATCTTCTAGTAAAAAGATTAGGTCCGTCAATTAACACGCATTAATGCCTGCGATTAACGCAGAGCACAATTAATGCATTTTTTTTAACGCATTAATCACAGACATTTCTGCGGCGCTGCCCGTTTGAAATGCCACCAACGCAGGAAGGGCCTGGGATCAGCTGAAGTCCCCAGCTGACCTTGGACTCCAGGCAGCACTGCCCCTTTGAAATGCCACTCCGTTTCAACAGAGCAGCACCTAGGGTCAGCTGTGCGGCACTGCCCTTCTGAAGGCCAATGTAGCCCAGGATCAGCTGGGAACTCCAGTTGATCCCAGGCTCCCATGGCACTGCCCCTTTGAAACGCCGGGGCAGCACTTCAAAGGGGCAGCGCTGCATGGAGCTGGCATCAGCTGGGGAGTCTAGCTGATCCTGGGCTCTCGCAGAGCTGCTGCTGCCCCTTTGAAACACCGCGGTGGCAGCATTACCAAGGGGCAGTGCTGCACAGAGCCAAGGTCATCTCTCGGGATCCGTGCCGTCACTGCTGCATTTCAAAGGAGCAGCGTGAGCAGAGCCTGGAATCAGCTGGGGATTCCAGATAATCCCAGGCTTCCACAGCACTGCCCCTTTGAAACACCGCCGCAGCATTTCAAAGGGGCAGCACACGCGATTAATCATGTGATTAACCACAATTCATTTTTAAAATTGCTTGACAGTCCTAATACTAAATATATCAAGAGTCGCTCATCAGTCTTTCAGGGCCCTAATACCTCTCATTGTATATAGTTCCTGTAGGAGCTGTGGTAACCCTCCCCATCATTTAGAACACAATCATATATAAACCATTCATAAATTTAATAAATGGTCCCCCAAAATACTGCATGGGGTTGCAATATTAGTCACAAAGATGTTGTTTTATGAGATATTGAATAAAGCTGAAACTATGATAACAGATTCATCTATGTTGCTGGTATGCTCTCACCTTGTATGCAGTGTTCTGTTTTGGTCAAACCATCTAAAAAAACAGAAGACACACAGAGTGGGTCAACTAAATGGAAGGATTTCTGTACAAGAACAGATTATAAAGTCTGGCACTACATACTTTAGGGAGTAAGAGGAGATATGATAGAGATATACAGCATTATCAATGGTATACCAAGGTTTATCACAAATGCATATTTACTCTCTCTTACAAAGCAAGAAAGTGATGGTAATGAAAATAAAAAGCAACGCATTTAAAACAACACCCTTTCAATTTTTAAAAGTGACTAATTATCATGAGTACCTCAGTGTTTGGGTGCCCAATTTAAGACACTTTAAAGGAATCTGATATTCAAAGAAGATATGTTCTTCATCACTTCCTGAACACTAGACTCTCCTTAAGGAGTCTTCCAGTCAGACACCCAAAATCCCTAGTCATTTTGAAAATTCAGGACAATAAATGGAGTCACCATTATATGCAAGATATACTTAAGCTATGGAACTCAGATACTGAGGCAAAGAGCTTGGTGGGAATCACAATAGTATTAGGTATCTCTGTAGTTAATAATTGTATCATTTGCAGATATACTTGCTAGGATAAATATATACAGGGAAAAGGAGATATAAAGCCTCATGATTTAGAACAAAAGCCTACCACTATTCTGATTGGAGTTAGGAAGAAACCCTAGAGGTATATTATTGCTTGATTCTGATTATGAAGGTTTTACACTTTCCTCTAAAGTATCTGGTACTATTCACCTGCAGAGGTAGGATACTAGCTGAGGTCCATTTTTATGCGCTGCTATCGCAATTTCTGTAGTCCAGCCTCATAACATTTTCTATTTATTCTGTGGTTTTTCTCAAGATACATATTGGAAGGTACTGCCCTCAGGTCATATGGCAAAAATCATTGTCATTGGGAGAGATACGTAGAGAATAAATGCAGTATACATACCCAAGAATTCCTACAATTAAATGACAGCTTCACATTTTTAGTATATAGTATTCAGACCCTGGAGAGACTCTTGCAACTCCCTTTAGTGCTCTGAAAGATGAGTCAGACTTCCTCTTCTGAAGGAAGATTACTATAATGCTAGGCCTTAAGGGCTGTGGCTGCTATGCTCTCAATATGCAGAGAGATTTTGATCAGTTATCCTGGGATCTTGCAGATCCACTTGCTATAATCTACCCATCCCCCAGACTTGCTGCAAACACTTTTGCACCATGCCGGGCCCTGTGCAAGCAGTGTGGTGAGCACACAGCATGTTTCCGGCATATGTTCCTTATAACTGGCCATTGTACCACCATTCTGCTGCCTTATTGTCCCTTATTCACTTACAGGTCCTCATCCACTAAGAAGTTGTTCAGTGGAAGCAAAGAGGATTTGACCCCTGTGTCATTGTTCACTTGTTTCTTGGTTAGCATTTTTATATACATGGTAACTGCAAACTAGTGCCTATCAACTGTATCTTTATGTTGCTAAATTCATTGCCAACATATACATAAACCAGGGACCCTAAAACATGTTATTACATTTTAAATCCATTTCAGTTTACTAAAAAATGATTTTTCTGAAATATGTGTTTTTTATTAAAAATAGGATTGTAGAATTTAATTTAAAACTTGTCCATCTTTATTTTAATTTTGTTTGCAAGGTAAACGAAACATATTTTCAAAAATCAACTGAGCTGCAGGGACTATTTTTTTAGTCTGTCAAAAAAATTGCTGAACAAATCAGCACAAGTAAATATATTTTTAAAATTGTGAAACAATGAGAATTATTTTATTCAAAATCTAGAAGTCACTGTTTTGATCATTAAATTTTAATTTTCAGAGCTTGTGATGAGCATAGCTTAATTAAGACTGTCAACATGTATGAGCAGCTGCACATGTGAGCACAACATACTTTTCAAAATATATGCCAACAGGTGCTGGAAAGAGCATCACACACGAAGCTGGCAGGTGAAAGAGGATATGGAGCAAGACAGGATCCTTCTCCATTATAGCTAATTTTAAATGGGGTGGGAATAGGGCAAAATGCAGCTAAAACATCAAGGATGGATGAAAGCTAGGATCCATATCATGTATCAGTCCATAATGTGCCATTGCTCTGGAATGGTTTGACTTAAGGTCTAGTAGTACAAATATACAAGGGGTTTGCAGTTTGGCAAAATCACACAATGGATAACCTCAAAGTTACACCTACAGAAATAAAAAGTAAAACAGATTAATCTATTTACATTTTAGAATCCTAGGTTCCTGGAAGCAAGGGAAGGAACCTACCCATTTTATTTAGTATAATGATTGTTACAATCTCCCCTCCCCCATTGTTCTTCAGCTCAACATATGAACTCCTTGGCATGAAAAGTTATAAGGAACGCCTTGAAGACCTTGGGAAACTTTTATTCCCCAAATTTACATTGCCATCTGAAGGGAGAAAGGTTCCGCCTCTTTCCCCTCCTGGGAATTATTCTTTCACTCTTAAACTCTTTGCAAAGTCACCTCTTCCTGGAATAGCATGAAGGTTTATAACAAAATGGATTTTAAAAAAGGAATGAAAAGTAAATACAAAAATATGTTACCCTCCCCAGCCCTGCCCTATAGGACAAATACAAAAAAGAGTGTTCCTTGCGGCCATTTGGTGTGCAAAAGTACTTGTTCCTCCTTCTACTACTGCTATTGGATGGTGGTGCTCGTCTTTGTGTGAAAGCCTGTTCAGTGGGTTTGAAGGTTTATTGCCCTGGGATTTTCCTTTCTGTCTGTAACATATTCCTCTGTCTCGTGGGTTGGAGAGAGGGAGGGAGAGAGAGGGAAGGTCCGCCATATTTCTGCCTTACCACGCCCGGGGAACTGAGCCATTGAAAAGTCAGGCTGGCTGGATACATATTGTGCATGCACCACAGCTCCTGCTTCCCTCCTCTTCTCTCACATTATCCCCTCTCGCTTCCTCACAGAAAGGGAAAGGCAGGAACACGACGAACAGCTCTGCAACAGCTGCTTTGAAATCCACAAGCAAGTAGCTCTCCCCCCGCCCCCCCTTCAGCCTCAAAGAAAGCCGGGAAGAAAAGTCCACTTGCAAGAAAACCTTAAGCAAAGCAAACTCCAAGAGATTTTCAAGCGGCAACAAGCAAAAACCACCTCCTGGAGCATCTGGTCTTCAAAGTCAGGGAGGGGGGAAGAGAAACAAGAAAATGTGCGTGTGGAGGGGGGGAGGGGTTAGTCGCGATTAGCATTTCAGTAGGGGGCTGGCTGCTTGGGAGGGAGCTGAGGGGGGATTTCAGCGGGTGTCATTTACAAGGGACTGAGGTGACCGCAGGCGGCAGCGAGGGAAAAGAGGGGGCGTTGGGCTGCTCCTCTCTGCTGGGCACTGCTGCTCCGGTGGATGTTTCCCTGTTGTTTGGTGCATGATTTAGAGATTAGTCGCGATTAGCATTTCAGTAGGGGGCTGGCTGCTTGGGAGGGAGCTGAGGGGGGATTTCAGCGGGTGTCATTTACAAGGGACTGAGGTGACCGCAGGCGGCAGCGAGGGAAAAGAGGGGGCGTTGGGCTGCTCCTCTCTGCTGGGCACTGCTGCTCCGGTGGATGTTTCCCTGTTGTTTGGTGCATGATTTAGAGAAGAGGAGGAGTTGGAACTAGAGGGTGTCAGAGGCAGGAGATAGTGGGGTTGCGCTGCTGCCACCGCCGCCGGTGGGGGCCCTTTCTCTGCCTCTGCTCGCTGGGTGTAGCATCTAGCGCTCTCCCGGCGTCGGCTGGGCTGTCCCCGGGTGGGGGCTCGCAGGCAGAGGGCGCGTGCCTCCCTCGCTCCGCGGTGCGGGGTGTGAGTGTGTGTGAGTGTGAGTGAGAGTTTTCGGGGGGTGGGGGTTGTGTCTGAACCAGTTAGGAAGAATGACTCTGGAGTCCATCATGGCGTGCTGCCTGAGCGAGGAAGCCAAGGAAGCCAGGCGTATCAACGATGAGATCGAGAGGCAGCTCCGCCGGGACAAGCGGGACGCCCGCCGGGAGCTCAAGCTGCTGCTGCTGGGTAAGTCCGGGCAGGCGCCGCCTTCACCCCAACCCGGGCAGCTGCCCCGGTGCCGCGCCGCCCCTGCTGCTCACACACATACTGGGTGCCAGGGGGCATTGGGGAGTGCAGCTTTGCCCGTGCATGTAGGCACCTATGCAGTCGATATGCCGGTGTGTGGATCCTAGTGGATATTGTATCCGCGCCTTGATCAGTCTTAAGGGAAAGGGAGTCTGGTTATGGGTGCAGGGGAAGGGAGGGAGGACGCGATTTACACTCAGTTTCCCTGCTTTCGCTCCGCGGGGGCTTCCAATCTGCATGATTCTGTTTATTCGGACTCTGATGATAGTGGAGCGGATACATTTGTGTGTGTGTGTGTGTGTGTGTGTGTGTGCGCGCCCAGATAGCTATAATACACGGTGTTACATGGTGTATATTTGGTGGCATGTTTTGCAAATGAAAATGTAGCTGGGTAAATACATGATTCTGGTTCCTGAAGGCAATTTGATGTGGAATGGACACTGGCCTTCCAAAAATGGAGCGGGGAGAGGACTTGGTGGGTGATAGAGAGATGAAAAGAGAACATAAATGGCAAATACATTTGGGGGTGGGTGTAAGGGAAAATTGCAAGGCAGCAGCTAAATGAAAGGACTCACAGGCGGAGTTGCTTTGCAGATTGATGGTGGCAAGCTTTAATGTCTGCATTGTTCTGAGAGCCTTCCGAAAGATTGCAGGGTGGCTGATTGCTTCATTAAATAAAAATAACACTAAAACATGGAAACGGAGATGAAGGGTTACATTCAGATTATAGGCTAATTTTTTACAATAACAACACCACCATACAAAGACCATGAAACTGAATAATAACCTACAGTATGTTAGAGAATGACAGGATCTGGAGTATCTTCGGAATCCACCCACTGGATAAGAAATACAATTTACCATATACAACAGAATTTCCTCTTAATTTCGGCAGTTTCTGTACAATAACTGTAATTATATTACAGTTATTGTACAGAAACTAGTGTGTCCCTATTTGACTTTGTATCTGCTAAAATAATACTTTTGAATTAGAAATAATACAATTATTTGGTCATAAGATTTTTTTTAATACACAGTTATCATGGTAGATGTAGTTAATGCTTTGGACTAACAGTGCCTAAAAATGTCTGCACAAGAGCCTGATGTGCGTGTATGTGGGGTTATAAAACTGAATACATCACATGCAAAAGATGTGTATTGTCTGCTTTAGTGCAAATGTACTATCTTGTTTTATACATAAAGGTTGTTATTGATATGGGTTTAAATATGTTAAAGCTGGTTCAAAATATGCAAACATGAGAATGACTTTGTATGACCATATTCTTTTAAATTAATTTGCAGTTTTCCTTCAGTAACACATTTTCTCTTCGGAAGTTGGAATAATGGGTGTGGAGGAATGATCAGGGGAGAGAGAGAGAGATAAAAATTGCGTTGTGTATATGATTTTGGCCTAGTTTTGCACATTGTGATTATTTTAAGAGAGAGAGAGAGATAAAAATTGCTTTGCGTATATGAATTTGGCCTAGTTTTGCACATTGTGATTATTTTAGAATTCAAGACAAGATGTGAATTACAAATTATATAGCTTGCATTTGCTTTAGTTTATGGACACTGACTTAACAGATTCAAGAAGTATTTTTTATCATATTTGGCTTGTCGTACAAGTCCACATGATTTCTGCATTTTCCTTATTTCTGGCAATAATGCTACAGGATTTTGCCCAAGGTTCTACGAAAGTGTGAAGTTTATTAGGGGTGTTTTCTGTGTGCTCCCAGAATGGGGACAAGGGAACTTAAATATATTAATTTATATAATTTCAAAGATTTAGGCCCCAATACTGTTGTCAGTCATGCTCATGCTTAACTTAATGAATGAGTAGTGTCATTGATTTTAGTGGAGTCCATTCACTTGTAAAGTTAAGTAAGTGTATAACTCATGGCAGACTTAGTGCCTAATTTTGGCATTGCTTTAGTTTAGGCCAAGTGAAAGGTGGGTAGTTTCAGTGCAAATAGATGGGTCAGGAGAGCTCTTAATTTATAGAACTATTGAGAAAGCTCAGGGTTTTTCTGTGTAGGTACAACAGTGCAAACCTTCAATGTTGATGTGCTGCATTAGTGTAATGTGAGTTTGCACTGGTGTGGTTTACTCGCAACGGAGAGAAGTGGTCCTGATGCAATACTTGCTTTATACAAAGTAACCCATCTCCAGTGCTCATATGCACAACTGTAACAATCCCACTCCAGAAATTCCTATTGTATACAAGCTGTCACTATTCTACTTTCAAAAGAGTACACTCTAATTAAAGGAGATTGTCAACTTAAAAATCATGCTCCTTACTGTTAATGATGTGTACTGGTGTCACAATTAACACCTATGGTTCTGATTCTACAGGGAGCTCTGTGAAGGCAAACTCCACTTGAAGTCACTGGGTCTCAGGGCAGAGACAGTGATTTGCCTGCACAGAGCTGCTTCCAGGACCCAAATATAAAATTAGTGTACTGAAATAATTTGGAGAGGGGGATATTTTTCAGTTGGCTTGTGTATTTGACAGCAGTTTGCGTTTAGTCACTCCCACTGCTATAGTCTGTTCCTCAGTTTTCCCTGTTGTTTGTGTGGGTCTTTTGTACAACAAGGTGCAAGAGACATTTTAAAAAATCAGAAAAATCATTGTAAAGTCATAAAACTGGTGAGATTCAGAGAGGTGCAATATCTGAAAGTACATCTGTGACCCAGCATGAATTTAGTTAGCTGGATATCCACTTATCATGGGTGTAGCCAAGTTTTCCATGGTCCCATAAAGTTTGTGTACAACCTTGGCTCTCAGTGTTTTCAGTCCCAGTAAGCAGTAGAAGTGTTGGTAATGCTGCTAGACAATATTGACCTCCCGTGGTTTGGCACTGGTCAGGGTGCTGAGCTAGAGAGATTCAACCTATAGTACTTCATTTTATTTTATGTAGGCTTTGAGTAAAATTGTCAAAAGCTACTTAGATTCACCCTCAGTGCCTAAGTCATTTAAGCTTCAATTCCATTTATAACAGTACCCTGGGAATTAGGAGTCTAAGTGGATTAGTTACTTTTGAAAATGGCACTTGTGCTCCTGAGTAGCCTAGCATGAAATTTTCTAAAGTGCCTTTTTTCTGTAAGTATTTCTTCATATAAAATGGTATGAATTTCTGTAATAGGTATTGTGCTCACCGGAAACTGTCAGAACAGCCCATTGTTTTGACTTCGTTTCTGTCTTATGAACACACACACACAGTAGGTGTGTGGTCTATTTTTTTCTGTTTTTTTTTCTATGTAATTTTCTAAGCATAAAAATTCATATGTATAGTATGAATTAAACATTTTTCTGGGTCATGGTTAGAAAGAGAAGCATATTTTTCTATACTTTGTTGTTCATAATGTTTCTTTGTGAAAATCTTTCTCACAACTGCGTGATATACAGTCACTGCAGCATGTTCACCTTATTTTGTATAGCCATATTTGTGAATAATGTGTACTAGTAATACATTTAATTTTCTTTTAGCTCTGTGAGTTTCAAATGTTGTAGCTTGTTTTGCAAACTTGTATTCATGGTGAGATTAGTTTTGAAAGAGGGCCTTAAAAGTAAATGCTTTAAATGACTAAACATTAAAATGTCAGTTCCAGACACTAAATTGCACATCATCCTTCTTCTGAGAGCTGTTTTTAAAATTAGGTAAAACATTTCTTATTGCAGTTTTTGAAACAGGAAGCTTTCAGAACTGAAGATTGAAATGTATTATTAAAAGGAAAAAACAGTGACCTAGCTAATACAAGTTGGCAGTAACATTTAGGACACGTTGGATCAAATTGAGTTTTCTGATTATTTGGTTTTAATCTGTTGTGTTTTCCAAACGCTTTCTGGATTTCATTCCTGTTGAACATTTTGTAAAACCCTGTAACTGTTCTTCAGAATTTAAGTTAATCACCATCTATTCTTTGCTCTTGGTTATAAAAACACTTGTTATTATTGACTGAGCAGAAGGAATTATGTTTGATATCAACATATTGGAAACTGCTAACTATAAAATATTTTGTGTTTATCTTGTAAGTATTAAATAAGTGCCATATGCTGTGATTGTTCTTTATGTAACACTGCCCTTATCAAAAGTGGAAGTTCTCTTTGGGGAATGGCAGTCATACATGGGCCTAAAGTTGTTCCTGGTCTTAAGCCTCCACTATTAACCAAATTTTGCCCTTATATATCCATAAGGACAACTATCATTTTCTTCAATGGGAAATTCCTTACGTATCTGAGAACCAAATTTTGCCCTTCCTTAACTCTGAAAATTGGCTAAGTTAAATGTTTGAGCAACTCATTGTTTTAATTTACACCTTCTGGTATTGTCGCCCTGAAACGTGGGTCAGGGTGACAGGTTTAGATGTTCTCTGCATTTGACATAGAAGGTCTCTAAAGTGAAGTGAGGTCTCATAAATACAGGTACTTTTAGCAAAACATTTGCATTCTTCATATGTTATCGACTGAAATGTGAAAATTAAACTAGTTGAGTGAATATAAATTGCAGCCAACCTTATCTGGAAAAACATTTTTGAACCTCCTCAGATGAATATCCAACCGCAGATCTGTCTGCTAATGTGCATTTTGATACATACATCAGTTAAATTAGAGATCCAAATAGAAAAATCTAGGACTTGGAGATAATGAAGATGTTTGACCTTCACTAAAGTGTTTGAGGAGGAGGAAGTGAGTCCCTTAAACGAAGAATGGATTACACCAGTGTATGGTAGCATTGTCATCTCTCACAGATACAATCTGGATCCCTTATTTTTTATGTAATTTAACTGCTGCATGTGGTTTATTGAAATAGAAACATGACAGTATTGCAGTCTCTTACACAAAACAATGCAGTAAATAGCAGTCATGCGTGTTATATCACTGAGAGATACTTTAGAATGTGAATAGTTTTACATATGAGACTTGGGAAAAATGGTACATA